AGAAGTGCCATGCTCATAAATCCAGCTACCAAATGCTTAAGCTAAGCTTGGAAGACCACTTCCAAGTGATTTGGAGTTAAGAATGCAACTCAAGACTAAGCATACTAGTTAATAAATAGTCAGCAAATTAGCTATCACATTTTACTTAGGAAGGCATATTGCTTTTAAATCTTGCTATAGATTGTACTCCTTTATCTTTTAGAGACAAAAGCTTACTACTATTTTAATATTCAAACTTCTATAAGAGGCATACTTGACTGGATAGTGTGCATTAATGACTTATTTCTATCAATTATCCATGCTTAGACAGATAATCTGATGGTTACTTCTGTTACCTTAAGAAGGGCCACTGTTCACCTGGGGTAGCTTTCAAAATTTCTAAGAGTCATTAGAGGAAACTAGTAAATTTCTAAAGGGTGGTCACCTTTCATATTTAGCAACATCTAGGTGGTACAGTGGATAGAGCACTAGGTTTGGAAGGTTCATGAGTTCAAATCCAGCCTCAGACACTTTGTAACTGTGTGACCCTGGGCAAGTCATTTAACTCTGTTTGCCCCAGTTTCCTCATCTGTAAAATGAGCTGGAGAAGGAAATTGCAAACCACTCCTGTATCTTTGCCAAGAAAACCCTAAATATAGGGGCAGCTGGGTGACACAGTGGATAGAGCACTGGCCCTGAACTCAGGAGGACCTGAGTTCAAATCTGGTCTCAGACACAAAACACTCACTAGCTGTGTGACCCTGGGCAAGTCATTTAACCCCATTGCCTAGCCACAAAAAAAGAAAAGAAAACCCTAAATGTGGTCACAAAGAGTTGGACATGACTGAACAACAACAAAAGTGATGCTATATATATATATATTATATACACACACATATACATGTATATGTGTACATATATATATATACACACATGTATATTTTTATATAGTACCTATGATGTATGAAGTATTGTGCTAAGCATTCTGGGAATAAAAAGGAGAAACAGTTTCTGCCCCTAAGGTTCTTAAAATCTAATGGTAGTGGGGAGGGTGCACAAATAGCCATAAGGCAAAGCAAACTATGTTGCCCGCTATAAGAGCTATAAAAAAAGCCTGACAAAGATTTCAGAAAAGAGAAGAGTTAACATCTGCTTAAGGATAGGGGGAAGAAAGATCACAGAGGAGGTAGAATCTGAAAATGGGTAGAATTTCAACAAGCAAAGATGGTGTGGGAGGGCATTCCAGAGAGAAAGAATCATATAAGCAAAAGTGCCAAAGCATGAATTCTTGGGATATGTTTTGGGGAACAATGAATGAATCCCTGTTTGGTTGTAATACAAAATAAATGTAGAGGAGAACTGAGGAGTAAGGCTGGAAAGATTGGTGGGGCCCTATAATAATTATTGTTGTTATGGAAGGTCACAGTAGATGTGCTGTGCCTTCTTACAATAGACTGAAGAATTTAGAATTTATTCTATAGGTAATAGGAAATCATTCAACAAATTAAAAAAAAACATTTCTAAGGTAGTACTATCTTTAGGTACTGTGCTATTCTGAGAACACAAAAATGAAAAGCATCCCCCAAACAGTTTAAAATCCAGTAGAGGGTATGAGACATGTACAGACATATACAAAATCACTCTGATGCAAGACAGATTACGGTCAAATGCACAGAAGAGTGAGGAATTAATAAATGCTTATTTCCTTCAGTGACACTTGAACTGAGCCCTAAAGGAGGAAAAGGATATGAACTGCAATCTGTTCCAGATTTAGGTTTTGGTAAAGGCCTTGAGGCAGAAGAAGGCAGGAGAGTATGTTAGACAGTGAGTATGAGAGACAGTAAACCAACTTGACTGGAGCACTGAGTTTGTGAAGAGGTGCAATGTGAAACAAGGCTAAAAAGAAAGATTAATGTTATATTGTGGGGGGCTTTTCATTGCCAGGGTAAGGAATATGTATTTTATTTGCAGGATATAGGGAACTCCTGAAGGGTTTTGAGTAAGGGAGTAACATGATAAGATATATGCATTAGGAAGATTAATTTGGAAGCTATGTGAAGTAGAAGGGAGAAACTGGAAGCAATAGGAGAGTTCAAGAAGCTATTTCAATCATATGGGAGGATAGTTTTGAGGGCCTGGACTAGGGTGTTGGCAGTGGGGGGTTGGAAAGGAGGGTGTGGATGAAAGAGCAGTTCTGGAGGTAGTACAGACAGGATGCAAGGATGGAGGTGAGTGATGGAAAGGGTACAATCAAATATGACCCCAAAGTTGAAACTTAGGTGGCTAGGAAATTGTGGTACCCAGAATATGAAAAATTGGGACTTCAGAGGTAAGGGGGGGAAGGAATGACCAATTTAGTTTTAGACATATGGAATATAAATTGCAAACAGGACACCTTAATAATTTCTAGTATGCAGACAGAAATAAAAGTCCAAAACTGGAGAGGTTGGGGCTAGTGATAGATTTGGGAATCACTACATACATACATGATTGCATGGTGAACCATCTGGTTTTCAAAGTAATTGTAACAATTCAGAGAAAGAAGAGAATACTATAGACTGGGTTTCTCAGTAAGATTTTATGAGCTATTACATCATTACCACTATTTATGGTAAATATTAATCAGCTCCAATTTGTGGGGGGCTTTTCATTGCCAGGGTAAGGAATATGTATTTTATTTTCAGGATATAGGGAACTCCTGAAGGTTTTTGAGTAAGGGAGTAACATGATAAGATATATGCATTAGGAAGATTACTTTGGAAGCTATGTGAAGTAGAAGGGAGAAACTGGAAGCAATAGGAG